ATCAAGATCTGTGAGCAGGAGGAGGGGGTAGGACAAGGCATGGATAGGTGCTTTCCTTCCACTGTTCTGCCCCATTCAACAACTGAGAATTAACACATGTAAATGTCTGCTTTTGCTGCTACTGCTGCTGCTGTTTTAATAAACTAAATTGTTTTCTCCAAACTAATGAATTCTACACAGCTTTAAAAGTTAAAAACAACAGCAACAACAATCACTCTATTATTCAGGAACAAAGGCCACACAAGAGAATGTTTTTAGCAATTTCATGTTGGCCATGGGATTTTTTTGTAGACTTTGGCAGCAATACATAGTAGATGGATCCCTTGAATACAGCAGAAAGGCAAGAAATAGCAGCAACCAATCTCTCTCTTGCTGAGAATACAGGATGTGAAGAAGCTACGCAGAGGAAAGAAAGATCCCTTGACAAACTGGCTGAAAATACACAGTCCAAATGAATCACCAAGGAAAAACTGTTTAGCATGCAAGGTCAGTAATGGATGCTGTGTAAGGCCTTTTTAAAGTGACAGCTAGAGGTTAAAACCAAAGAAAAGACACAGTATCCTGATTTATTGTATATCTGTATTTTGTGAACATTGCGTAAACACAGTGGAAGACACAGTCTAAAACAGACAATATATTAAGAAATTTTGGCTCCCCCCACCTCCGCACTTGCATACTGAGAGAAGAGATGATAAGGCTGTGTGCGCTATGTCCTTAAATGATACCAGATGCCAAATCATGGAAGGTTTATTTTGAAAATCTCCATGGGAGAAGTACTTTAAGAAGGGATTTGAAAAATGAACACTGGGTTTTCAGTTCACTGAAGGAGACAGTGGTGTAGCTATGGCTAACACCTATATCACCAGAATCAACAAAGTTCCTAACTTTGTCTCAAGTATCACCAGTCTTAGGAAGACAGAAAAAGACATCACTGGTGCTTTGGCATGAAGTTAGGCAGGCAGTCAGAAACAAAGGTGCCCCAGTGCAGTATCCCTGGCAGAAAAGGATGGGCAGTAGACTCAAAGGATGGGCAATAGACTTAAAGTAGGCAAGTCACCATCCTGGCCACGTATCTCACATGTATCTCTTCACTTCAAGTGAAAAAGGAATGCAGATTGAAAGTGGAAATCATTCTTTGCACTATGTGCACCTTATTAAGATCTCTCCACTGAGCTGTGTGTCTCTGCAAGGCTGTGAGTCTTTCTAAACTCCTATGCAAAGACAGGCTGCTTAAAATCAGGATGACATTGCATGAGGAAGGGTTTTCATGTTTGAATACTCTCCCATGTTGGTGGTGGGGGAAAGACTCCATGCATATAGAAAAATAGTTTGTCAGAGGAAAATGTTTTTACCCTGACTTAACTATTTTGCACATCTCAGGGCCTTTGTTTGTAACTTCAGCTCTTAGAATATTTGATTCAAACTGTGTTGAGGTGCAGCTGTGTGAGCCGCACCCAAATGTGACTCTGCAACTGCTGAGACCATGTGCCACTCTCAGCAGAGACAGGTATGCTTGCACAGATAGCTTCGAGCACAGAGAATAGGGCTTGAGAAGCACCAACATTCACATCATGGGTCCAATAGTAGAAAGGTGACACAGATCAACTCAAAATCATGCCAGTCGCATGCAGGAGGCGGCAGTGCAACAGTGGTTCCATTACTCCAGTGTGCCTGGTTCTAAACAAGTAGCATGTAGAAGCGGCCTGCAGGAAGATCTTCTTAACTGTTCTCATGATGTTATGCTCCTAAGAATCTGCCATTGCACAAACAGTCTCACAATACTGCTATTATTGCTACCACTGCTCTGACTAATAACCACACAATAATAATAACATGCTACTACTGTTACTACCACTGCAGTCTCTTTTCATGGTGACTAATATAAATAATATGCAGTTGATAGGGAGATGTGAATTCCAATGTACTGACTTGTTTGAGAAAAGTTGCACAGTTTTATATAATTAGAGGGATTTGGAGCTGACTTACTCTAAACATTGTACAAACTAAGCAAGAACCTGGCAAGTAAATTTAGTTAATACTGGGTGCTGTCTATAGCCTATTTAATAATGCAGTAGGCAAATCTGACCTTTGGCTTGCTCCTCGCAATGATAATATCCTTATATTATAAGGAGAACCTGCTTGTAGGTGGCTGAATGGAAAGCAACATTCCTATGCCTAAAGTACAAAACTCATTAACGCAGGATGATTGATCTGCCATTTGGCCTACAAGTCTCTAAATGCAACTGAACAGTTATCAGTTCTTTGCTCTTGAGGTCATCTTTAGAAAGAAAAATTCTGATCTACTACTACTTCCTCTGAAAAGAAAAAGAGGAGAGGTTATATGGTAAATCCAAGAGACGAATGGCTGCTTCCTCTCAAACCTGCCTGGCCAATGGAAGGAATACAGCATTCTGCAAGTTGGCTATAAACAGATCCTCCCCCATTGGAGCTTTAAAAAGCTAACTGAGCCTGCCAACAAGAATGTACACAGCCAGGCCCATTGAGAAGAATGCCCAGGTGAGCCCATTTTGGGGAAAGGGGAGGGGTTGAAGAAGCTGCTGTGAAGTCCGAGATCACACTTCTCAGGCCTTAATACAAAGAGCATAACCAAACCCAGAACAAAACAACAGAAGCCCTAAAAAGCCTAATGTGCACATTAACCACTGGGAGATAGAAATGTCTTCCTCACGTAGGGCCTTATGCACCAACATGAAGAATAATAAGTTCATGCATAGCACCGTTTTGCAAAATCCCAGAACAAACTTTTTTGTTTTTATTTCTTTATGCAAGAGTTATGTTTTAACACAAATGGTGATGTACAGTTAATATTTACAATGATGCAAAAACTTTACAATCATTTTAAAACTTTTAAAATAATGCTAGAGTAAGTTATTCTTACTAATTCTGATATAATTGCACAACACACATGATAGAACACAGACTCTATGGTGTGACAAGTTGGCAAATTATAGACTTGTGTACATTTTTATAGTCTGGAATTTTTTGCAAATATAAAGTTTATGGTTAGTACATGAATACTGTGGAATGCCTAAGAAACAGCTCAGTTTCAAGACATGAAAGCAGAGAGAAGTAACCATGAACTACCATGAAAGGTTGTCTTTTATTTTAAGGGTTGAAAACATTAAGAACCACCAAGTTGGATCAGACCAAAGGTCTATCTAGTAGTGCATTTGGTTCACACAGTGGTGAATCAGCTGCCCACTGATCCCACAAGATGTTAGTGCAGTGGCACACTCCCACCCATATTCCCCAGCAACTGATCAACACAGGCATACTACCTCTGATAGTGGAGGTAGCATATAGCCATCAGGACTAATAGGCCTCAATAGCCTTCTCCTCCATGAATGTGTTCAGTCTCTTTTTAAGCCATGCAAATTGGTGGCCATCACTATCTTTTGAAAGTTAATTCCATAGTTTAACTGCGCACAATGAAAAGAAATGCTTCCTTTTGTGTGTCCTGAATCTACCACCGATCAACTTTGCTGCATGAGCCAGGTTCCAGTATTATAGGCGAGGGAGAAAAACTTCTTCCTATCCATTTTCTCCACACTATTCATAATTCTATGCATCTCTATTATGTTTCCTCTTACTATTTTTCCAAATGTACGACTCTAGCTCTTGTAACCTTTCCTCTGAGGGGAGTGACTCCAATCCTTGATGATTCCAACTCTGCAATATCGTTTTTCAGGTACAGACACCAGAATTCTGAGAGCAGTCACATGATTGATTTGTATAAGGGTACTATGATCCTGGTATTTCTATTTTCAATGTCTTTCTTAATTATGCCTAATATGGAATTTAACTTTTTCACAGTAGCCACACACTGGATAGATACTTTCATCAGGCTGTCCGCCACAATCCCATGAACTCTTTCTTACTCACCACTAGCTCAGATCCCATCTGTCTATACCTAAAGTTGTGGGGGAGGAGGGAACAGTTGCTCCAATTTGCAGCACTCTGTACTTGCTTACATTGAACAGTATTTACCATTTTGATGTCCATTCTTCCAGTCTGAAGGGATCCTTTTGGAACACCTCAAAATCCCTTTGGTTTTAACCACTCTGAATACTTTGGTGTCATCAGCAAACTTGGCCACTCCACTGCTCACTCCTAACTGCATATCTGCTTTGTCTTCTTTAACCATTTACTGATCTGTAACAGAACCCCTCCTCTTAGGCATAGTGTTGCATTTGTGTGAGCTAAAGGGAATGCTTCTGTTGAGCATAAATCAGATACCTTCAGGCTTTTCAGAGCCTGGTGCAATTAGGAGGGGACCTCTAACAAAGAAAACTAAATGAAAAAAATGCAGAGCTGAAACAGTAAAAAATGAGTTTTCTAATCCCCTAACAAAAGTCTTCCTCAATGTTTTGGAATACAATAGTCAAAATAACCACTGGGCATGTTGGCTGGAACCACTGGGAGTTGAGGTCCAAATGATCTGGCCCTCAAAATGTTTGAGATTATGACTCCTTGGGACAGATGGATGAAGCATCCAGAAGGCAAGGCTGGTCAAGGCTGCCCTGCAATGACTGCATGGCTATGTGTTCAGAGATGCCACGGCATCTGAGAAGCCAAGACAGGTGGAAGTAAGGTGACAGGGTCCCCATATAACCACCAGCTATTTGGAAGATGCCTAGAAAGAGCCAAACTGTTACGTCTATATGTGGAAGTGTTTGAAGCATCAATATAAAATAGGGAGCTAGGAGGCTGTGGGCCTGCCCTTTGATCTCTCACTTTTAATATTGCACTACATGTTCAAAGGGAAAGCATAACCTTAATATCATCTAAGAGGTAGATAGTGGATCCCTAGCAGCTCTGTCCATACTGTGAACGAATTTGTCCCTATATAATCTGAATACCCTTTAAGTTAATAAAGGATATCCTCAATAAGTGTAGAAACTGGAAACTATCAGAGATAAAAGCACATGGCAATACAACTCAAAATTTGTTTTGTAATTTAATTAAACTGAAGACAGTACCTTCTTCTTGCTGCAGTAAATCTGCCATTTTTTCTCTGGAGGGAGTGCAAACATTGCCTCTCTGTTCTTATCTGTAAGATCCAATTCATCCTGGAAACGACAAGAAAAAGCACACACATATATAACAATGGCAGTAACAGTAAGTTTCACAAAGAATTTTGAAGGCCAACCTTATCTTCAGGCCTTCACTTAAATAGAGGATATTTAAACTCTCACAGCTTTGCCTTGCAATATATCTGCACTGTATTTAAGCACAGTGGAACAGCTATACAGTGTCTTCCAGGAGAAATTCTGCTGAAGCATAAGGATTATAAGACCTGCCACGGAACTCTTAGAGAATCATGTTAATAGGCCAGGTAAGTCACTGACATTTGTATGAAGCTGGATCACATACCACAATTTATCAGGCACTCCAGATTTTATTGTTGCTTATACCCCTACACATAGATTTGGACTGGTTGCTTCAGAATGTACTAGAAATTACGAGTTCACATGATATTTCTTTATCTGGTTCTGTTAACAACAAATGAAAGTAAAATTTAATAGCTGTACAGATTTGTCAAAATGTTAGCGTTAACTTTACCCAGAGATGTTCAGCTCATGCAATCTCCACAGAGCAGGGGTTCCACAGCTACATTCCAGGTTCTGCATACAATAGATGATATCAGTGGCATGGCCAGGGCAGGCCCTCCTATGAGACAAGATACCTCAGGGGGTAGCTTGGCAAGAGTGGCAGATCTTGTGTGTCTCACCATCAGGGAATCCATGCATCCTGATGCAGCCGCTGCCTGTGCTTCTCAAAGTGAGGCCCAGGGTGAATGGCTCCTCCGGAAGAGTCCTGCTGGCCACCCTCCTGCTGTGGCAGGCTACAGGAAAGCAGCCACTGCAGCTCTCTGGACCAGCTGCAGGTATCTTTCCTACACCATGGTCCGAAAAAGGCATGGATGGGCAACAACTCAGAGGAACTGCAATGGCCCTTTCCTGACTGTAGCCAAGGAGAGAAAGCACCTATCATAGGTCCCTGCAGTGCTGCCCACCTGAAGCCTGGCTCTGAGGACCGCCTAGTGTGAAGCTTCAGGAGGACATGCTCTCTGAGGAACCTTCCCAGTGCAGCTCTCTAGAGCTCAGCTGGCCTGAAGGCCTCCCTCTAAGGGGCCATTCTTGAGAATGAGGGATTGGTGGCCCTGAAGATTACCTGCCTTGGTACAACACAATGCCTCACCCTCTGGAAGAACCCTTCTGAGCCTTGGCAGGGGAAGAGAGAAAGCTGGCTCCAGTGGTGGATGCTCCTTCCTGCTCAGCAGTGGTGGCACTTCTATCCCTAGTGATGCCGGCACACACTCCCACCCGGCGGTGATAACTTGCACTCTTCTCTCCCAAGCAGTGCCAGCAGCAGGTCTTGCTCCAGCCCTGGGGGCGGCCATGCCTGCTGACACTGCCTCCCCATTCCTGGGCCATTAAGCAGGCTCACAGTGCCCTTTCAACAAATGCTAGGGGGAAAGCAGGGAAATATGTACACAAGATGAACTGTGCCAGTTTTGCCATATGTGTCTCATAGGACATGTTTTAAAAAATGGTTTTGAAGACAAAAGTGGCACAAACCCATCCTTTCATTTTCCAATTTCCTCCCAATAGTTGCCTCACAAAAATATAAGCTCAGATGCACTCTAGACAAATTATACAGCAGCTTTTACTGGGTTTTTAAAATAGCATGTGTTAAAAGCTGCACTGCGTTACAGTATATAGACGGTTGTACTGTATATAGAGCTTCTGTCTCAGAAAAGCCTTCCATTTCGTCAATTGTCCCACTTTCGCATTGTCAGAAAATAAGAGGGCTTTTTTCCAGGTTAGGTGGGGTGGGTGATGTAGAACAAGGCAAAACCTTAGAAGCAGAGAGGAAACCTGATGCTAAGGTGACATTGTGAGGACTTCGGAGGTATTAGAATAAAATCCTACCCTAAAGCAGGGACAATACCTCTTTAAGATGGTCCCACAATAGCTCATTTGGAAAACTTTCTGGATCCAGAAACTTGTGAAAACAGTGAACTAAAACTGCATACTGAGCCTGGTAGCAGCTGCTGACAGATTTAAAGGCCCAGAGAGATTTCAGCCACAAAAAGGTACAAAAGAAATACAAACAGTAACAAGGCTAGGTCAGTGCCAACAGCCCAAGGTAGGAGAAAGCCTGGGGAGGGGAGGGAGGAAGATTTTTAAAAACACATATAACTGTGCGTGAAGAGCACAAGCCATGTGGAAATGTTTAGAGTGAGTTTCCAAACAAGCGGGCAGCCAAGCAAGGCAAGGCGTTTTTATCCTTGCAATACAAAATTAGAAAACTTTGGGCCAGGAACACATTCTTGGGGCAAATGGAAAGAGGAGAGAGAGAATGCATGCCAGATCTTAAGGACAGAGAACACAGCAAGAGGTCAAATGTGTGCAAAGGATACAGGGTCACTTATGCTTGGGGATCTTGAGTCTGGCAGAAGTCCTGCATGGACTCACAGAAGCAACAAGCTGGCCTGTCTCAGCAAAAATTCCTTTCAAAAGGCACCAGTGCTTGAGGGAAATGCCAAGCCAATTTACTGTTTATTTGGCGAAGGCAAGAAACTAACTGGATTTTCTTCTCCATATCATAAAAACATCTAAGAAACTGGTGGATTGCTACTTAAACTAAAGGAAGCTTAATTCTACTGTCAAGAGCAAGTTGAGAACTTTGAGAAATATACAGTCCACTCCACATTAGGTTAAGGAAATCTTAATGATAGCAGACCTAGCCAGTCACACACAAGCTGAAATATAAGTACCAGCCCGACTGATCTTATTGGCTCAATACAACCTGAAAGTTAATGTTGCAATTCCAAGACAATTCTGAGGATGATCCATGAGACCTGAACTTTGATTACTCATCTGAAAGAAAATGCCCTTTGTTCATCCTATTATATAACACGCTTGAGATCCATCATGAATGTCTTGCAATTTAGCTAGACATTGAAATGGGAAAGGGGCATCCATCTTTCCCCTACTCACCATTTTTGGAAGGGAAGAAAAGCTAACAGTGTGGCATGGTCTTTTAATGGCCTCTAGTATGATAGTTCTAGTATTTAGGTGCTGCTGCTATTTCAGTCACTGGTAGAGGTATTGTTGTATTTATGGAATATCCTTTTAATTTATACTATACATTGTATTCTATGGCCTCCCAACATCATCTGCAAGGTGATGACTCTTCAGGCTCTGAGATTCTGCAGTCTTGGGACTGAGTCCCTGAAGGCCAAGCCCTTGCTCTTCTCCCCTTGCAGCAGGCATGGAAAGAACCATACAGCTGCCCAACCGACAGGTTGCCAGTGGGCCTTGCAGGCTAGGAGCGGGGAGGCTGAGGCAGCAGAGTTATGCCAGTCCCCACCAGTGCTCCAGCTTCCTCCTCTCCCACTCCCCAGTACAAAACCTAGATGGCTAACAACACACATCCAGAGAAAACGCAGGGTGTGTTGGGCAGTGGCAGGGAGGGAAGCTGCCATGCCTTGTTCCTGCTACTGGATGCCTGTAAGCCACTGAGCATCTGCCACAAGGGTGATAGGATTGTGTCCTTCGGTACGTAGAGAGTGAATGTCAGAAAGTGGGGTATAAATATTTAAAATAAATAATCAATTGTTCTTAGAAGTGGGGAGATCCAGAGAATATCCACAGGGAATAGCAACAGGACAATGTTTTGTGCTAGGGGTGGGGGATGAATTTGTTTGGCTCACATTTTAGTGCAGGCCCACCTAATTCACACTTCCTGAACTAAAACACAAATGCAAACATTGATATTATTTGGCCTTCACATTTCTCGGAATGTTGTAATGCAGTTGTTCAATCAATAATGTGTCCAAAAATGAAGATACTAGGGCAAAATGCACACAAAATGTGTCTATATTTGAAAAATAGTATGCCGAAGTACATTATATTAGGGGAAACTGATTGCTAAAAAAGTTGTATATTAAGAGAAATGTGCACAAAAAGGCATTCAGTTTTTGTTTAAGCTTAAAAATACACATAACCCAAACTGAGGTGGAAACAGGACACAGCAAACTTAAGATTGCAAAAAATGAGAAACAAAGAGAAAGAAATTTATCTCACCTTTTATGTCCTATATGTTTTTTTTTAACTACAATGTTATACCCAAGCCTACAGACCATCAGATTTGGCAAAAGCCCTCCCAGACTGGGTCTCCCCCTTCAAAAAAATGCCACATTACCAATATGCCAACAAAATACTCCAGATATCTAGGCCTTATGTTAGTCAAAATGGCAGAGTCATGAGCAGCACAGAACAAATATTTTGTGTCTACTACTTAAACCTTATTCAAGAATGTCTTTTAGCTTTTATGCTAATTTTCTATTACCAGATACCAGGATTTGGTTACAAAAAAACCAACAAAAATTTAGCTGTTACTATTCATACAGATAGCAGACTGGCAGCAGAATAGATCTAAATTACCCTGAGTCAATAGCAATTTACCTTAAGTATGAATGTTATTCTGGTCAGCTTTGTATAATTTGTATAACTGGTCTGTGGACTGCATACATGCAATCAATTTAATTTATATCCTTTCACTTCATGGCCAAAGCCCCACTGACAGTACAGTTTCAGTGGGGGGGATTAAAAATAGCTTCCCTCGTGTCAACAACCATCCTGCCCATGTTGCCACAAGCCTGCACCTAATCACAGCACAGTGTGAGCACATGAACTCCACACAAGATGTCACAACTCGGATGAGAGAGAACACAGTGTGGTGCATTTTCACTCTTTCTGGTTCCACATTGCACACAGAGCTTATGCGGGGCGGGGAGGAGAGAAGAAATGTTGATGAAAGTGTGCGCCTTTTGCATACAGAAAAAGAAACTTTACCAAAAATGTAAAGAACATGAGAAGTTGAGCACATTGCTAACCTTAGTACTTCTTGGACACCAAAACACTAACTAGTACTTCTTGCTGGGATGCCAAAGACCCAACACCAAATTCCACTTCATTTCTACAACTAGGAGTGCCAGAACAGAGGACCCCACACATGTAAGCAAGAGAAGAGAGTTATATCTCTGGGAGGTTCCTCT